GGCGGTGAGGTCCCCCCTGGGGCGCCGCTCGGAATTCCGTCCGCACACCCCAGACCCCGTTCCCTCTCTGCAGTGGAAGCCGCCGTGAGAGTTCTTGCGAATCCTTCCGGAAAGTTCTTGGACGTCTACAAGGACACGTACATACGGACCTTTTGCTTAAAATAGATGCGGCACTGGCCCGGGGGGCTGGGGTCTGCACTTTGCTCTTTGATTTCTTGCTGGATCTCGGAGACGACAAGCACCGTCCACCTAACTCTCCGAGTAGCAGCACGTGGCCGGCGGCGTGGGCGGACAGCGGGTGTGGACCGGTTCCGGTCTGTTTCCTCTGGCCCATTTTTCTGTTGGATTTTGGGGGTTTTTTCTTATTGATTTGTACTGCTCTTTACATATAAAGGATTAGCCTTTTGATTTACGTTGCAAACATTATTCTAATTACTTTTGTACGTTTTTTACTCCGCTGAACATCCGACGTAGCCAACTGTCCTCATGTTTTTTCTTTGAGGTTTCCTGAGTTTTTGAGATTAGTATGACCTTCGCACTCCTAAGATTAGTGTTCTAAATACAGTTTTATTGTAAAACTCTTACGATTTTATTTTAAATTGTTTAAATATTTTATAGAGCTGGTATTTACTTCGGTATACGGATTAGAGGAAGTTACACTGTAAGCGTTTTATTCCAAGCAGCCGATCGGCTCTACCCAAACTATGTGAATGAGCCTTTTCCTCGCTGACCTGAAATGCCACTTGGATCACGCAGCAAACTGCCACGTGCTTCTCGGTCCGCTTCCAGATCCGTCACCCTGAGCGGTTGGCCGCCCTGTCTGCGGGCCACCCCAGGGCATTCGGCTCCCCGCTGCGGCCAGGCCCTACCCTTCACCCCCATTCCCCCGGGTCACTTTGTATGTCTAGTTTTCCATAGAAACTTTAGAATCTGCGTATCTAGTTATGCGACAGAAATTCCTGTTTTTCTTTATCGAATTCATGCCTTGCATCAAATTTACTTACGTAGGAGGAAAGTGTCTGCTTCACAACGCAGAATCTTCTCGTCCACAAAGGGCCTCGTGTTTCCACCTATTCAAGCTTCCTGACAAAATGTTATTCGTAAGAGCTCAGCGCCCACGTGGTCGGTTTATTCCTTGGTGGTTTTTCCCTCTCATTGTCTTTGTAAATCTTACCTTTTGTTTCATTTCTCGCACCCCCCCCCGTTGCTATTTTTACCTGCAAAGAAAGCTCTTGAGTTTTTGATGTATTCAATTGGAAACCACCGCCTTAATGAATTTTCTTCCTTTAAAGTAGGTGTTTAGTTGTTTGGGGGCTTTTTCTGGGCATTAATCATACTATCCGCAGCTCAGAACGATGTTTGCTGCTGCCTTTCCTGTTCTGTCTCGTTCCTCCTGTCGAGTCGGGTTGGGTAGAATGCAAGACGCAACGTAACGTCACACATACGAATGGCCTTGAAAGTGACACCCTTTTGAAAGCTCCATCCATTTAATTATCTTCTCATGAAAAGTGACCGAGAGAACACTGCGGCGATCTGCATGGCCCATGGCCAGGCTCATCGCCTGCCCGCACGTGGCCTGCGTCTCCGGAATGTTCTAAAGCCTCGGTCTCCGGCCTCACGTGTCCTCTTTAAATGTCGCAAGTGCGCGTCTCTGAAATAGAGGAATCGATCCCAACATTATTAACGCCACTAGCGTAAAAGTAAGGACTTCTGCGTGTCGCTAAGTCCCGGTCAGCGTCCGCGCTGCCCCGGTTTATAGTCCGCTGATCTGAACGGGGGGCCACGGCGGAGCCACGCGTGAGGCTGCTCGATGGACTTGCCGCTTCTCCTGAGTCTCGTTGGCTGAGTTCTCCGTCCCTCTCTGCCTTTTCCACCGAAGGCGCTCGCCGGCCGTGTCTCCCTTCGCGGATTCGCGGCCGTGGGTGCCCGGCGTCTGGGTCCGTTAACGGACCAGAGGCTGCGACGTGGCGTTCTGTTCCCACCGTTCCTTCTTCGCCGATCAGTTGAGATTCTTCCACGCGAAGGAATGTCCCCTCGTCGAGTGTTTGACGCCCCCGAGTATGGTTTACGTCCTGGATTCGTGCCCTTGACTTATGGCGTTTTAATGAGCGCGCTTCCCTAACCGCCTCTGCAGACGCCCCGTGGGGCCTTGCGCGCTGTCCTCCAGCCTCCCGGCACGTTTCGCCGTGTCGCTGACGTCACCCTTACTGGGCCAGCGCGTGCGGCTGATTCCAAGGCCGGTCAGCAGGACCAGTCCCCTGGGAGAACCCCCTCGCTTTCGGGGGTGAGTGGATAAGGCAAGGTCATCACCACCGTCTCCCGCTTCAGGCCGAGAGCCAGTCACCGCTCGCGCGACCCCAGGAGACCGCGTCCGAGACTGACCAGGGCATCGCTGGGCGTTCGTCGCTGCCGACAGGACTCGTGGGGGGGCGGCCCCCCGTGAGCGCCTGGCGATCGCGGCCGCGGGCGACCCCACCCCGGAGCATGGGCTGGACTGACTCGCTTCTGACACTTCTGACAAATAAGGGTTTGGCGGGAGAGACGAGGAGGTCACTGCCAAGGCTCGGGCACCACAAGGCCGTGGCTGCTTCTCGGTCTCTCGCTCGCCGGCTCTGAGGGAGGCGACGTGCCGTGCGGTGAGTCCATGCGGCGCGTGGCTCTGCCCGATGCCCACGTGGCGCGGGACTGGCGTCTCCAGCCAGCCGCCTCGGACATGAACTTGAAAGCGGACCCTCCACGTTCCAAGATGCTGCAGCTTCGTGAGACCTTGCGCCCGAAGCCCCAGCTCCCTGACCCGTAGAAACCGAGAGAACGAACTGGCCCTTTACATTTAGAGATAAATTTGGGGATGATAAACGTGTGTATTTTTAAGACAAAGGGCACCACGATTTATCTTGACGCTTCCTCAGGACTGTAGGCTTGTACGTTTGCGTCTTCTGACGATGCCCCAAATCCCAGTTCTGAAGGCCCCCCACGTGGTTCCGCATTTCTCACGTTCCGCCGGCCACACGACGGTCACAGTGACGAGGCCAGCGTCGCCAAGGCCTGTGGTTGCAGACACCGTGGAGACCGATGTTCGTCTTTGGCGTGGAGCTCGCGAGGACGGCTCTCCTCTCCGTGGCCGCGTCGTACCTGGATACGCCCAGAGATTCGTTTTTCTCCTCATCCTCAGGAACTCGCTTTTTGCATTTAACTTTGCTGCATCGTGTAAAACACGTGGCTCCAAAGTGAAATGAATCAGACAGCTTTTCCTCCGTGTTCGTTCACTTTTCCACTTCATCCCGAACCCCGGCGCTCGGGCTGACGTCCCCACTGCGAGGGGCGGAGGACGCAGGTGGCCCGCGCTGTGCGCAGCCGCCCGCCGTCCACACCCGCGTGCGCCTGTGCCCGCCGCTGGCACTTCTTGTGTTCGTGCCGCTTCTCCTGGGAGCCGGTTCTCCCAGGGGCTTCTGCTTGGGGCCCGTCGGGGCAGATCGATCCACGCGTCGCGTTGAGCTCGGCTCGGACCGTGCTTGACTCGCCGTCACCGCACCCCTCCCTCTCTGTGGCTTATTGGGTGGAACGTGCAAACCCTTCCCTTCGGGGGTGACCCGACCTGTCCCAAAAGCCCGGGCACGGCCTCCTCCCGCCGAAGGTCCCACGGGTCTGCTGTTTGCAGCCGCATCGGATCACTGGCCCACCTTGACCGGGACGTCACGGGCGCAGCGTGGCCGTGCTGGGGGCGGGCTTTAGCAGACCGGAGACCGCACCCCAGGCGGGCCCCGAGGACCGGTTTCACCGTGACACTGCGCCCCTCCTTCCCCAGGGCCTGCCGTCCTGCCCATCTGGGCGCCGATCTGGGCGTGGCCTGCTCCCCGTCCTCCTCCAGCTCCGCCTCCCAGCTGCGGCCAAGTCGCCCCCCACTTTGGAGCCCCCCACCACCCCGTCTGACCTTCCACTCTCTGTCCCTGCCCCTGGGCGCGTCTGTCCCGCCCTGCGTGTGTCCACGTCACCCCTCCGTCGTCTTCCTTCCTCAGCCAGGACGGGGAGCGGCCACCTCATTCTCCGCCCCCCCCACGCCCCTCAGCTCACCCGCTGGCTTCCGCCCCGTCTCTTCCGACACAGCTCTGCAAGGTCGCTGCTGGCTTCCTCGTCACCGTGCCCAGGGAGCATGCGGGGTCCTCCATCCTCCCGCCAGCATGGGCGCCCCTCCCCCGCTACGCCCCTTCTCCTGGCGACCGGCCACCCTCTCCGTGCGCCCGCCCTCATCCGTGGGCCGGGTCACCTCCCACGGCCTGCGCAGACTGGTCCTGGCCCCCCCACCCGCCACCCCTGGGTGACGTTGGCACGTCTGCAGTGTCGCCTGGCACGGCTCCCCTAGAAGTCCAGGCTCCTGCACCCGGCTGCACCCAGCTCCCCCTCCCCCGCACGCAGGTCTCCCTGGGACCCAGGGAGCAGCGGCTCTGTCCACCGGGGGCGGGGGCCGGGGCGGGGTGTATGGGACACGCAGCTGCTCAATTGCACCATGATTTCCCAGAGTCTGACGCATGCGCCCTGGGGTGACCCGCAGGCTGCTCGAGGCTCCGGGACACAGGCTGTGACCGTTCGGAGCTCTCACTCAAGGTCCCCAGAGCTGAGGTTCGCGTGACATCCAGCCCCCCACCTCAGGCACCCCAGCCGTGAGCGCCACGTTTCCTGCCGTTTAAGGAAAACCGAAGTTGCAGAGAACAGTCTGGAAAACCCGCCCTGAATCCAGGGTCGGCCTGGCGTCCGCTGTCACGACTCGGGTGGCAGCGTGCTCACTGCGGGCCGCTCAGCGAGCTCGGTGTCGGTGTGTTTTTGTGCCACGCGTGCCCGAGGCCAGAGCCCCAGGCGCTTCCCGCCCGGCCCCTTTGCCGACCCCCAGCGCGGTGCCCGTGTTGAATCGCACAGAGACAGAACCTTCTGTGTCGTGGTGGCAGAAAGTCTGGTGACGTCCCTGGCCTGAGGCGGCCAGGACGGCTTTATCCAGCTAGACCTGGGCTGTGGGGGGCGGGAGCGTCCACGCGGCCTCCCGTGAGGGCTGCAGGCCAGCGGGAACCCCCACACAGGAGAGGGCCCGAGAAGCATCGGGCCGACGGGCAGGGTCCAGCCCCGCCCTGAGCCCCAGAGGGTTCGGGGCAGGTGCGAAGTGCTGGTGCGTTTGGGAAACGGAGCCTTCCAGAGCACAGCACGTGGCTGTCACTAGTGACCGCTGCCCAGGGTCACCCAGGGGCCCGGTCCCGGAATCGTCCGTCCGACAGTTGGTGCGGTGTCTTCCGGCCTGAGCGACGATGTCGTGCGCTTGCTTGCTCTGTGCACCGTGGGGTGATGAGAGAGGTGGATGCCGCCCCCTGGCTGCAGGCGGGTGACGCTGCCCTGCCCCTTCGTCCCCCGCCACCTTGTCCTCCGTCCTCTGGGAAGGCGTTAACCGTGCCGCTTCAGTTCCAGGGCCCTGCGAGCCAGAGGACCTCATCGATGGCATCATCTTCGCCGCCAACTACCTGGGGTCCACCCAGCTGCTGTCGGAGCGGAACCCGTCCAAGAACATCAGAATGATGCAGGCCCAGGAGGCCGTCAGCCGGGTCAAGGTGGGCCGGGCTCGGGAGGGGCCCTGTCGGGGGGCAGGGGACGGGCACAGGGGCCGCTCGCTCCTCGTAGGAACCGCCCCGGCCGCCCCGCGGCTCGACGTGAAAGGTGCTCACTGCGCAGGTGCCAGACGAACCGTGCCGGGCGGGGGCCCCGGCGCCAGCTCCCGGCTCACGTGTCCGTGGCGTCCGGGGCGCCTGCGGGGGCAGCGAGGAGTCACGTGTGCTCAGTTCGCGAGCTCGGGGACAACTCGGACGCACGTGCAGCACTAGGCAGATCGCCTGGTTTCCAGGGGCGGAGGGGCCGGGCCGTGGTCTGCGAAGCTGTGGTCTGGGGCGCGGCCCTCCTGCGTCCTCTGGCCTCTGTCG